TGTATAAGAGACATTACTCAATTTCACTTTGTTTCACTATTTTCTATTTTCAAAGATGCTTGGCTTTGTTTTAAGTACTTAAAACGGACTGAAAAACATTTTAGCAAAGAAGAGTTTTTCAGCGGCACATAAAAGCCGTACACGTCTACATTGTTGTTATTGTCATCTTCAATCATCCTGTTACATTGAATTATACTATAACATACACTCTACAACAATATGTCTATACTATATTTACTACGCTACTATAACGTGTTATACTAGAAAAATGTCTAAGAAAATGTTTTTCAAGATAATGAAAGTGATGCTATAGTACTGATTGACAGACACTATCATCGGGAAAGGGAGAGGTTGAAACTGACAATTACTCACGTCGCACGATATGTATAATATATATATCCTTGTGCCGCAACTTGTACATTCAAAAATCGATATATAGCGTGCTTGTCATGTGCCATTATATCGTAATACGTCGAAGAGTAAATATTAGCCATGCTAACGAATTTTCTGCGAGAGTACAATATGAATCGAGTGTTTTTATCAACTACAGGTCTCTGGCCATTTCAAAATAGGTTTGTGAGAAATTTGTTGCGGACGTTCTGCTTGCTGTTGGAAATAAGTTACTATCCGTTTGAGGTAAAGTGTATCAGTCTCTATACATATTTCAGTTTTGAGAAAATATGTACTATTAATGTTTATATAATATTCTCTCAATTAATATTATTATTTATTGTAAAGCACATATAATATATACACTGCCGTGTACAAACATAAACGTAAAATATTTATATTTTAATATGTCTCAATACGACACGTATATCTGAAGCAATAACGGTTAATTAAATAAAAATATAATAATTTACATATACGACCCATCTTCTAACAAACATACTTGTAATATACTTTAATCCGATGTTATACGCAGATATTACTGCTGCATGATCATTGGGATAATCCGCGAATGGTTTTTGATGGTAGCTATCAATTCATATTGTTCACTGCTTTTATTGCTAGGGCACTGCGTGATATTTGGAATCAGAACAGAGTAAATGCACACATTTATCATATTGTCGTTATTTCTATTAGTTAAAATTATCTTGAAAAAATTATTTTATATATGATGTGTCATATCACGTTTTTACGTTTGGTCTAACCAGTTGCAAGAATTACATCGGAAGAGCA